CTCGTCCAACTGGATCAGCTCCACTTTCAGAAGTGAATGTTGCTTCATCCAGCAATAATAATTGGCGGGGACGCGGACGCGGTTGAGGCCGTGGTCGCGGTCGAGGAAAAGGAAGGGGTCTCCCTCCCAATAATTTCAATGCCAAGAAAACCAACAAAAATCTTCAAGTTAATGATGTTGGTCGCGTTTCCAAGAAACAAGATGAAAGTACTTGTTACAGATGTGGCATGAAAGGACATTGGTACCAGACCTATCGTATACCTAAACATTTGGCCAATCTGTATCAAGCATCTCAAAAAGCAAAAGAATGAGATGTTGAGACCAATCTCATCTCTGATGAAGCTGGACCTTCCTTCCATGGCCTTAATGATGAAACCCACCTTGATATCGCAGATTTTCTCGTTGATCATGAAAACGGAAAATCAGGGTAATAAGATCATTATGACATGATATGGTTGTAATAGTATTATATGTACTTTTTGGTTTAAAACGTATCGTTTGGTTTTTAAAATCTTTCTTGAATAATGGTTTCTTTGTAATATACAATAAAATTTTCTTTGTAAGTCTTTATGTTATTTTATTTAATGCATATTTTATAAACGCTTTATCTCAGAAATGTCAAATTTTGAGATTGAGGATGGAGATATATGTCTGGCAGACAGTGCTATGACGCACACGATACTTACAGATAAAATTTCTCCTCTCTCAAAATAAAGGACTCCGTTGGAAGCGTGAGTACCATATCTGGTAATGCAAAGATCATTATGGGCTCTGGAAAAGCCATTTTTTTAATGCCAAAGGGAACGAAATTTGAAATTGATGCATTATATTCCCCTATGTCTCATAGAAACTTAATAAGTTTCAAAGATATCCGAAAAAATGGATATCATATAGAGACTATGAATAAGAATGGCGTTGAATATCTTTGTATTACATCCGAAGGGAAACATATACTAGAAGAATTGCCAATGTTATCCTCTGGAGTATATTGCAAAAAAATAAATATGTTAGCATCATATGTTACAGTAAACAGCTTACCAAAAAAAAAAAAATGTTACAGTAAACTCAAAGTTTACTAGTACATTTAAGATTTGGCATGAAAGACTTGGACATCCTGGTTCAACCATGATGCGAAAAATTATGCAAAATTCTAGTGGCCATCCATTGAAAAACCAAAAGATTTTTCAATCTAATGAGTTTTCATGTGATGCATGTTCTCAAGAAAAACTCATAATTCGGCCATCGCCAAACAAAATTGGGAATGAATCTCCATTATTCTTAGAGAGAATACATGGTGATATATGTGGACCTATTCACCCTTCGTGTGGGCCGTTTCGTTACTTTATGGTAATGATTGACGCATCCAGTAGATAGTCACATGTGTGTCTATTGACAACACGAAATACGGCTTTCGCGAAATTTATTTCCCAAATAATCAGGTTGAAAGCACAATTTCCTGATTACGCTATAAAGTCACAAGCCTTTAATGACTATTGTATGTCTATGGGAATCGATGTTGAGCATCCGGTCCCTCATGTTCATACACAATCTGGCATGGCTGAATCTTTAATTAAACGGTTGCAACTCATTGCTAGACCGTTAATATTGAAAACAAAGCTCCCAATTTCTATATGGGGTCATGCTATATTGCATGCTGCGGCGTTGGTCCAGATACGACCAAGCGCATATAATAAATATTCTCTTTTACATTTAACGTCTGGTCAAGAGCCAAACGTAGCCCATCTCCGTGTTTTTGGGTGTGCGGTTTATGTTCCTATAGCCCCACCACAAAGAACAAAAATGGGGGCACAACGGAGATTGGGTATATACGTCGGTTATGCATCACCGAGTATAATTCGGTATCTTGAACCGCAAACTGGTGATATGTTTACGGCACGTTTTGCCGATTGCCATTTCAATGAAGATGAATTTCCAGCGTTAGGGGGAGGAATTAAACAAGTACCAAAAGATATTACATAGTCTACACCATCTTTGGTATATCTTGATCCTCCTACAAATCAACGTGAGCTGGAAGTTCAGAAAATTGTACATTTACAAAATTTGGCAAATCAATTACCAGATGCAAATCAAAATTTGGCAAATCGTTCACGGATACAAAAAGGGTGACAAAGTCATACATTCCCACTGCAAATGTCCCATCAAGAGTTGAAATTCCTAAAGTGGAATATGATGGGAACAAAAGTAATGAACCTAAGGTTCAATTGAAACGCGGGAGGCCAATGGGCTCTAAAAATAAAAATCCCCGAAAGAAAAAGAAAATGGAAGATGGAAATGAAAAGGTTCAAGAAGAACATAATAAAGAGAAAAATCCTCAGGACGATATAGAAAAATATGAGATTTCCATTAACTATGCCCAAGATGGAAAATTATGGGCTAGAGATGAAATCGATGATGATGATGGAATATTTTCTTTTTCTGTATCTAATGAGATCGATCATGAAAATGATGATCCAGATCCAAGTTCCGTATCAGAATGCCAACAAAAGCTTGATTGGGAGAGATGGAAAACTATAATACAAATTGAGTTGATGTCCCTCAATAAAAGAGATATCTTTGGACCTCTTGTCACTACATCATCTAAAGATGTAAAACCTGTTGGCTGCAAGTGGGTATTTGTGCAAAAAAATGAAAAAGATGAAATCACACGATATAAAGCCCGACTTGTTGCACAAGGTTTTTCTCAAAGACTTGGAATTGATTATGAAGAAACATATTCTCCGGTCATGGATGCAATTACATTCAGGTATTTAATGAGCCTAACGGCCTCTAATAATTTAGAAATGTACCTTATGGATGTAAAGACAGCATATTTATACGGATCATTGGATAATGATATATACATGAAAATCCTAGAAGGGTTTAAAGTTCCTGAGGCATTAGACTCAAAGTCTAATGAAATATATGCGGTCAAATTACAACGATCAGTTTATGGATTAAAACAATCCGGACGCATGTGGTATAATCGTTTAAGCAATTATTTGTTGAAGAAAGGGTATGTTAATAATGAAATATGCCCTTGCGTCTTTATTAAGAAATTTCCATCGGGATTTGTGATCATTGCTGTATATGTTGATGACCTAAACATAATTGGAACTCAAAAAGAGATTGATGATGCAAGAACTCATATGAAAGAAGAGTTCGAAATGAAAGATCTTGGAAAGACAAAATTTTGTTTCGGACTCCAAATAGAACATTTCCAAGATGGAATATTTGTGCATCAATCAAGCTATACCAAAAGAATCATTAAGTGTTTTTATATGGATAAAGCGCATCCTTTGAGTACTCCAATGGTCAATAGATCTCTGAATGTTGATAATGATCCATTCAGACCTTGTGAAGATAACGAAGAAATACTTGGTCCCGAAGTACCTTACATGAGTGCTATCGGTGGACTTATGTATCTTGCAAATTGCACCCGACCGGACATTGCATTTACCACTAATCTACTTGCGATATACAAATCATCCCCTACCCACAGACATTGGAATGGGATAAAACACATCTTCCGCTATCTTCAAGGTACAATTGACCTAGGATTATTCTATCCTAGAAACTCTGCGTTTGGTCTAGTTGGTTTTGCAGATGCAGGATATTTATCGGATCCGCATAAATCTCGGTCCCAAACTGGATACGTTTTCACAATCGGAGGAACTGTAATCTCGTGGCGTTCTCAGAAACAGACTTTGGTCGCCACCTCTTCAAACCATGCAAAAATGATTGCGCTTCATGAAACCTGTAGAGAATGCATGTGGCTCAGATCTATGACCAACCACATACAAGAAGCAAGTGGAATAGTCACCAGTAAAGAGCCGACAACATTATTCGAAGACAATGCTGCATGCGTCGTCCAAATCATAGAAGGTTATATCAAGAGCGACCGAACGAAGCATATCCCTCCAAGGTTTTTCTCCTACACTCAAGAACTCGAGAAAAACAAAGAAGTTGATATCCAGTATATCCGCTCAAGTGACAACGCAGCAGACTTGTTTACAAAGGCGCTTCCTACGTCAACATTCAGAAAGTATATTCACAATATTGGAATGCGTCATTTACGAGATCTACAAAGATAAGATTATACTTATCTTTTCCAGGGGGAGATTGCGCTACTGCACTCTTTTTTCCTTGTCATGGTTTTTATCCCAATGGGTTTTTCCATGATAAGGTTTTTAACGAGACAGTACGCAATAATATATAATTAAGGGGGAATGTTAAAATAGGACAATTACATTTATGTTTATCACCTTATCACTTTCTCCTCACGTAACTTGTTCACCAAGTTTTGATGTACTATATATACTTCTCATTTGAGAAGTGAAGGAACATACGTAGAGAGAAAACGAGATAATAAGAAAGATCACGTCTCCTTCCTCCTCTCTATTATTTTAATATTTTCTTGTTTTAGTATTTTATTCAACAAAGATTAAATATTAATAATGTTTAGACTCTCGAATGATTTACCGAAAATCTAATTTGAGTCTGATCCATTGTCTCCTAGATTATCTCAATAAAAGAATGTCCCCGTGCTTGCATATAACAAGATTGGACCTAGTTAGATGTAAGGAGCAATCTAACTTGATGAACAAGAAACAAAAACGGCAGCTCCACACCGACTTGGTTCCTTGTCTCCAACGGCTAGTAAATATACTGTTTATGACCATTATTAATTCTTAAACCCTTGGATCCCAAATAAAAGTTAAATCAACGGTCAAAATTCGATTCATAAAGAAACATGACCGTTAGAGACAGTAAAAAGTTTCCTTAATAACAGTATTCAACCACAATTCTTCATCATTCGCAATTTACACTAAAAAAATTAGGGTTTTTCTTTGAGAGAAGCAAAGAGATTTTGAAATCTGAGGAGTGATTCAGAGAGAGTGGCGTCTGGTTGTGTTGAAGCCGAGACAGGAAAGAGTACTCGTCTCTGGGATTTCTTTTTATCTCTGTTAACGAGTCTTGGAGGACCGTTGGTTCAGATCACCGAAGAATAAGAACAACAAGGTTCAGATATTATGGCGTCTAGAGTCTCACCTCAACGTGGAATCAAAGGTTTTTGTTTCTGATCTTTGATTAATAATATATCTGTTATATACCTTTTTATTTGATTTTGTTAATTGTTTTCTTTGATTTCTTGCAATTGCGTGGGTTCTTGTGGATTTTTTTCTAATATGATTGAGAAATTGAGATTGAAATAATCACTTAGAAACTTGACGCAATTTTGATACAAATTTGTTATTGTTCTTGATCGATTGTTCTGTTATAGCTTTTAATTTGATTTTTGTTAAATATCTCCAATGTTTTCTTCGATTCTTGAGTTTTTTTGTTGTTTTCCTATTAGATAAGTTGACACAATTTTTGATACAAAATTTGTAAATGTTCATGATTCGATCTTATCTGATGAGATTTCTATTTTCTGTTCGGTTAATTCAATTAAGATGGTTTTTTTTTTTCTCAGTTGTTTAAAATTATTTAAATTCACTTTTTGAGATTATTTTTGTAATAGATATTTTTTTTAGGGTTTGGCGAAATCAAACCGAAGAATATTGCGGGACATGGAATACAAAAGCGAAAAGTTCTTGGAGACATTGGGAATCTTGTCACTGGTCGTGATGTTGTAACCGGAAAGGTGATTTTAGACATCTCTGATCTCTTTCTTTGCTTATGTTTCTGTCTTCACCTAGATTTGCAACTCATAATAAGTATTTATCTTCTCAGGATGTTGCGAAGAAGGCGGCACAGCAGCAGCGGACAAAAGCAGAGGTTATTGTCATTAGCCCTGATGAGAACGAAAAAAGCTGAAAACCGCATTTTAGTAGAAGAACTCATATAAGAGGAACCTTATGAGCTCGAAGCAATGTAATAAAAATTCAAATCTGTTGATGAGCTTAGCCATGTTTGATGATCTAACTCCTCTGTTTTATTGTCTAACATGCTGCGAGTGGACCGACGGATGCTGTGATCGACATTGATGCTGTGGAATATGTAGACGAGGAAGAGGAAGGAGGAATCAAAGACTACATTGGATCACAGCCTGAGATAAACGAGAAGATGAGATCGATTCTGATCGATTGGCTTGTAGATGCCAGAGACACTTTACCTCACCATTAACCTCGTTGATCGACTTCTATCTTTGACAATGGTTCCTAGAAGAGAGCTTCAGCTGTTGGGACTAGGCGCTATGCTAATAGCTTGCAAGTATGAAGAGATTTGGGCTCCTGAGGTTAATGATTTTGTCTATCAGACAATGCCTATATCAGAAAACAGGTTTTGGCTATGGAGAAATCGATCTTAGGACAAGTCGAATGGTACATCACAGTTCCAACTCCTTATCTGTTCCTTGCGCGATACGTTAAATCTTCGGTTCCATGTGACATTGAGATGGAGAAGTTGGTATTCTACTTGGCTGAACTTGGACTCATGCAATAACCTATAGTTGTCTTAAACCGTCCATCGATATTGGCTGCATCAGCGGTTTATGCTGCGCGTGAAATCCTTAAAAAGACAGCTGTTTTGGACTGAGACCTTGAAACATCACACTGGCTATTTGGAAGATGAGATAATATAAGCTAATCTAACCTAATCCTTGCTTTATGTTACTGATCTTTTTTTGCAGTCATGAATTAACAATGGTTTCGTTTGGTTTTTTCAGGGAGCATGCGAAAATGCTGATGAAGTTAAGGGACTCGGCTTCAGAGAGTACGCTAAGCGCAGTGTTCAAGAAATACTCTGTCTCAGAAAATGCTGAAGTTGCTCTTCTTCCTTCGCTGGACAACTTATCAGTTTCTTGTGCATGAAGAAACAAAACCCTAGTCTTCTTTTGTTGATCATCTAGCTGTGATGATCTCTCTTTGTGTTCTTCCATTTTTCTGTTTGGTTTTACATTATCCATCAAAGATAGTGATGTTGAATATGGACAAGTGTTTTAGTGTGGTTTCCATTTATCTTCAGTTTTCTCTTGGATTCCTTTAGTTGCGTTTAAATTTTTTTTACCTGATATAGCTATTCTTTTTGTCACATATATCTTATAATAATTAAAATACTTCAGCTTTGTGTTAGAAGATGTTGATCAATGCAATGTGTTACAAAACTAAGTGAAAAAGATTTCGATACATTATTAAACATGAGAAGCAGAAAATGGAAGCGTTGGTTACGAACCTAAAGATGATGATGGAATCTTTCCCAGTGAAGATCAATGGCGGATCTAGAAATTTTGTTTACCGGGGTCATTTAAATATTAATTTAGAGTGCTATATCCTAAAATTATTTAAAGAAAAGATAAGAAATGGGTGCAGTTAGGAATTTTACCTTTTGTTAATGGAGTCAAACAAATGGATTAAACAAAAAAATATAAGTAATATATTTTGTGGTTGCGGGACCTGAGAAAATAGTAAAAAAATTTTACTTTTCCTCAATGATGAGGACACTGTCCAACATGTTGGCTCTAATTACATCAGCGATTTTGTTGAATAGTACTAGGTTTAGCCACTTAATGCTTTTACTTCTTACTACTTGTCAATTGTAATTCTACAACCACACGGTCCACACACTACATTTATACTACTTATCTTAACCTATTTACTTAACTTGTTTTGTCTTAACAACACAAAATAACCCATTTAACATTTGGGCCCTCAATTCAACATCATGGCCCATTGGCCTTTTTCTTCTTTCTTCTTCTTCTTCCTCCTTCTACGAACACAACACTTCTCTTTGCTTTTTCTTCTTCTTACGATTCGTCACTCACTCTTCCTTCAACTTCTTCTTCTAATTTCTCTTGTACATGTTTAAGCAAAGATGAAACCCCAACAGATTTGAGATGAATTTGTCCTGGTTAGGAATTAGGAAATCATTAGATTTAAGAAGCAATCTAACTTGATGAACAAGAAACGGCAGCTCAACACCGACTTGGTTCCTTGTCTCCAACGGCTAGTAAAAAAAAATTACATTTTTATGATCATCATTTGTTTTTAAAATTAAAAGTTAAATCAACGGTTAGAAGTTTCGGTTCGTAAAAAAACATGACCGTTAGAGAGATCTAAGAATTTTCATTAAAACATTATAAACCCTTCTTCAACCACAAATCTTCACCATTCTTTTTTTTTTTTTTTTTTATGGTATGAATCTTCACATGTTTACCAAAAAAAAAAAAAAAAATCTTCACCATTCGAAATTTACACTAAAAAAACATTATAAACCCTTCTTCAACCACAAATCTTCACCATTCGTAATTTACACTCAGAAAATTAGGGTTTTTTTCTTCTGAGAGAAGCAAAGAGATTTTGAAATCTGAAGAGAGAGTGATTCAGAGAGAGTGGTCGTCTCCGGGATCTATTTATCTCCGGGATTTATTCAGAGAGAGTGGTCGTCTCAGAGAGAGTGAGCGTTACTTCAGATCACAGAAGAAGAAGAAGAAGAAGGTTTAGATATAATGGCGTCTAGAGTCTCTAATCAACGTGGAATCAAAGGTTTTTGTTTATGATTTCTCCTCATGATCATGATCAATTGATCTGTTTTAACCTTTGAATTTGTTTCTTTTTTTGATTGAGACTGAAATTATCTCTTAGAAACTTGACGCAAATTTAAAAATTTGTTATAGATCTTAATTGATTGATCAGTTCTATCTTGAAAATTTGATTTTGGTAAATATTTCTTTGTTTTTCTCCACAATTTTATACAACTAGGTATTAGGTGGGTTCGTGAATATTGATTGAAATTATCAGTTAGAAAAGTCGACGCAAGTTTTGTAATAAAAATTTGTGCAGAATTATCATGATTCGATCTAATCTGATGAAATTTCAAGTTTCAAATTTCGACTGTTGATTATTTTTCTGAATTACTGATGAGTTAGTGATATAATTAAATTTATCAAACCGAAGAATGGTGCGGGACATGGAAGACAGAACCCGAAAAGTTCTTGGAGACATTGGTAATCTCGTCACTGGTCGTGATGTTGTAACTGGAAAGGTGAAACCGTAAAGTTCTTGAACTTCCTTTACCACGACCTCTGCCTCTTCGTCTCTCTCAAAGGCCATTTGGAATCTCTCTCTTTCTCTCAATCTCTTTGTAGCTATCAGATCTTTTCTTCTGTGTTGATCTCCAACAATAAATTAAGGTTCTTTTCTGCTTTTTAAATAAAGTTATGTACTATATATATAGATTGAGATTTCCTCCTGTGTTCTAAGTTTTTAGAGTAATCTTTGTTAAGGAGTGAATCGGAGGCAACAAGTGAAACGTAGAGTAGGTAAGTATGAAGTTGGAAGAACAATTGGAGAAGGAACTTTTGCTAAAGTTAAGTTTGCTAGAAACTCTGAAACTGGAGAACCTGTTGCTCTCAAGATTCTTGATAAAGACAAGTTATATAAATAGAGAAGTTACTAACTGGTTTGGTTGGTGGCAGGTGATGGCAAGCAAGACGAAAATATTTATCATCTTGGAGTATGTTACAAGAGGAGAACTCTTTGATAAGATTGTAAGTTAGTAATGATTGTGATTTTGTGATGTCACATTACAGTTGGAATCTGATTTTGTAACATATGAATGAAGGTATTTGACGGGCGAATGAAAGAAAATGAGGCGCAGAGATATTTCCAACAGCTTATACATGTTGTGGACTACCCTCATAGCAGAGGTGTCTACCATAGAGACCTTAAGGTACTTCATATGAACATAATTACATAAAATGGTTTTATAGATAGTTGAACTGGAATTACAAAAGCCTTAAATGTTGTGATAATGCTGCTCCTCTCAATCAAACCACCGAAATCTCGATAAACCCTTCCCCGACTCTGAGACATGTTATATAAATAGAGACGAAAGAGCCTATTTACACCATGTTGAGGGTTACTGATACGAGATACGGACTCACGTATCAAAGACGAAATCCCAAGACTTGAGAAGTGTTTTGATAGTTTTCTATTTTTAATTATGGTTTCAGTCGGTTGTAAAGAGGTCTATAAAAGGACCTCTAAACATCAATAATAATTATCTTCCAACAATTAACCTTATTCTCAAGCAAGAGACTAGGGTTAAAGGAAGCAAAGCTTTACCGTTTTCATTCTTGACATCACGGAGTCAGGTTACTTAGGCCCTCTTACTCGAGCTAAGGCAAAGAAAGCTTTGCCTCATAACAGTTTGGTATCAAAGACGAATGATCCAATGGGAGAAGGATGATTGTCAACGTCACAGTTTGAACAGCTTAAGCAGATGATAAGCACAGAGATGAACAAGAAAATTGCGCCGCAGCAGACTGCTATGGGAGAACTCAAAGACGCATCAACTGCCCAACAAACCGCTCTTGAGACAATCATCGCAGACCAGCAGGAAGAGCGAGAACAGACCAAATCAATGTGGAAGAAATTCGTGAAGAACAAGCAAAAATCAAAGAAACTATGAAGGTGGAGAAGGAAGAGGTTATCAACAAAATCCAATCGCTGGCCTTTGTTTTTGGAGTTGACGCGGGCGAGGAAGAAAGTGAAGCAGCCTGTGTCCAAACTGCAACGGAAAAACGACATCACCGAGGGAGGGATAATGAGCAGAGAACAGCATAGCACTCATTCTGGTGGACCTTGGGCTAAACGTGCGGAAGGAAAGGAACGTATTGACTAGAAAATATAGAACACAGTACCATTTCCTAGAACAATTTTCAACTCAAACTCTAATCGAATTTATTTTTGAAAACCTTGGACAATGGTTTAGTCAACTCATAAAGAACCAACCCCCAGCCGTCACAAACAATGTGAGGTGTTTTTTAGTTCTGTGCCAAACAGAAACTAAGTTCTGCACGGCATCTCTATTACTACCAGTATTCAAATTTTCTATTGGATATTTTAATCTCGCTCACGTAAATGAATCATCATCTGCACTTCTACACAGAAAATTAAAGGATCAGGATTCAGGGGAATAATTGGGGAACACATACCTTTCTTACAGGGAGGGACAGTTGATACGAATGTCATGACAGTTGATCGGTCATTTTGTAGAACAAACTGTCCATTAGGCTTGTTGATGTCTGAGCAAACCTGAAACATAGTAGGGCTAGATAAAGAACACTTCTTTTTGTAAAATAATAATATAGATCACACTGACACATGTAAGTATAGGAGGTCATGCACATATAAAGAGAACCTTGGCTAGCAAGCGGTTTGCTGCTACTCTAGCACTGCATGTCTGTCCAGTCCTTTCTCGAAATAAACAGAAGATCTAAGCTCCTTTGCAATCTGCATAAAGTGAAGAAATGGAAAGAGAACAGTTGCAGTGTCAGCCAAAAAATTTCTCAAAGAAGATACAACAATCACAAAAGAATGCATCTCATGAGGTCACACTTACTTCTCCACCTGAAAGACCTCTTTCTTGACAAACCTCAGTTATGTCAAGGTAGGCTTCATCCAAGCTCCCAGCAATGAAGTGAGGATCATAGTTCCTAAAAACTAAATGAAAACACTGATATGCAAATAAGAGAAGAGAAATAAGAAAAGCAAGCATAAAGCTACCAATGTAAAAAGAGGCCTTTCTTATTAAGTCACTGTAGTGAGTATACTTAGTGAAATCTACAGGAACAAATATCAAATCTGGACACAATTTACGAGCAATGAAGCCATGCATTGCAGCACGGACCGCAAACTTCCTTACCTAAAAGGGATAGTAGAAATTTAAGTTGTAAGCTTTAGTTCTAGCAAACTTTATGTCCACAAGTTGAAAACCAAAGCATACCTCATAATTAGCAGCCATGGAAAAGCCTCCAACAGCCATCGGCTTGCCTTTGAGGGAAGGATCACTCACAGTTTCAACAGCAGCATAAAAAGCATCCATATCAACATGCAGCCTAATTCTGGATAGCTCACGTGTAGCTTCTAATTCAGTCCAAAATCTTCTGGTCCATGTGACAATGAGATGGAGAAACTGGTGTTTTATCTAGCTGAGCTGGGACTTATGCAGTATCCCGTAGTTGTCTTAAACCGTCCATCGATGTAAGAAGCAATCTAACTTCGTGAACAAGAAACAGAAACGGCAGCTCCACGCCGACTTGGTTACTTGTCTCCAACGGCTATTAAAAATAATGTGTATGACCATCATTAATTCTTAAACCCTTGGATCTCAATCAAAACTTAAATCAACAGTCAAGATTTGCTTCATAAAACAGAACATGACCGCTAGAGAGAGCAAAAAGTTTATTTAAAACAGTATCCTCCTTCAACGACAAATCTTCACCATTCGTAATTTACACTCAGAAAATTAGGGTTTTTTCTTCTGGGAGAAGCAAAGAGACTTTGAAATCTGAAGAGAGAGGGATTCAGAGTTAGAGGGATTCAGGGTATCTTTTCATCTCTGCTAACGAGTATTGGACGAGTATTGGATCACCGAAGAAGAAGAACAACAAGGTTCAGATATGGCGTCGTCTAGAATCTCTGATCTTCTTCATCAACGCGGAATCGAAGGTTTTTGTTTTTTTTTTTTAATTTGATATCTGTAATTGTTTTCTTTGATTTTATCTTTTGATTTATTGCAATTACGTGATTGAGATTGAAATTATCTCAATTTGTCAATACTGTTTTCTTTGTTTTAAAGATCGAAACTTGACGCAGTTTTGATACAAATTGTTTAAATTTGTTATGGATCTTGATCGATTGATGTGTTGTGTCTTAAAGTTTTGATTTTGGTATATAATTTCCAATTAGTTTGATTCAGATTGAAATTTATCTCTTGGAAAATTGACGCAGTTTTGATATAGAATTTGTCCTGAGTGTTCATGATTCGATCTGATCAGATGAGACTTCCAAGTTTCTATTAGGTTAATTACTGATGGGTTTGTGCTATAATTGAATTTGTTAGGTGAAATTATACCGAAGAATGTTGCAGGACATGGAAGCCAAAACCAAAAAGTTCTTATCACTGGTCGGAAGCTGATAATCAAATTCTTATCAGTTCTCTTAAAAAGTTTAGTATCATATGTAACTTGGTAAGAGTTTGAGAATGTTTAGAATGCTGAATTATACGATCTTGTTATTTCACAAACCCTTAGGTTTAGTATTTATACAACCTAGACTTTCCTGATTCTAAGGAGATATGAACTTATCTAGAATGGAAAATATACAATTCAGAAGATATCGAATATACATCTAATATTCGTCTAATAGAGTTTCATACCATTGAAGCATAACTGATTGGATTCTTTCTTGTCTGGTTCAAATTGTGCTCTTTGGTCTCTCTGTTTTGATGTCATCATGTCTGGATTTACTTAGTCAATGTCTTCTTGATTTCTTCAAGAAACTGAAGTTAGTACGTGATTCTTTGTTTCGTCTTCAGTGTAGGAAGCACAAAGATCTTTACATGTGGATGGTGAAGTCCCTTGGTGGACCTTCCGTTAAGTTCTTGGTTAATGCTGGTAATGTCTCCAGCTTCTCTTATTTGGTTTCAAAATAAGTGACACGAGCTGATGGATCTGATCATATGTTGGGTAATGATGGGTTTATCAATTTGTATCGTCTCTGAGTTGTGTCTTTGTGTTTTTGTGGTGAAGTTCACACAATGGAGGAGCTGAAACTCACTGGAAATTATCTGAAAGTTTCACGCCCACTTTTGACATTCTCATCCAATTTTGAAAAAGATGCACACTCGAAACTGTGAGGTTTTTAACCAAACCACTATGTGTGTGTTTCAACCAATTAGTCTTAAACGTGGAAACAAAGAACTAATCAACACCAAGAATTTAACGAGTTCCCCTCCAAACAGAGAGTACGTCTCGTGCAAGGACCGACCCTTGCAAACTTCCACTAAAGAATCTCTGTATAAGTTTCAATACAATTCTCTCTTCTCTCTCAATCTAATACTCTCTGTTTCTCTCTTATAGGTACCTCCAAAAGAAACAAGACAACCTGAAGCTTATTCACCTATGCTTCAAGTATCAGAACAACCCAGAAAACAAGAACAAAAAAAATAAGAAACTTATCTACCCGAAGCCCTTACAGACAAGCGATTACCAAGAGGCTCTCTAAAACCCGAAAACTCTCTCTCTCTAGCTTTGTCTATCCCTTGCTTCTTATGTTGGTGATGATGAGTTGTGAAACCTTGCTTCTCTTTATATAGAACCTCGGCACCGCCTATTTCCTGAACCCGAGTACAGACCCGATGACAAATATCCACAGAAACTTCTTAAAGAGATGTTAACTCAGGTATTCCTATTTCCATTCTCACTTTCAACTCTTGATGACGTCAGGATGTCGGACATCGACGGTAATGATTTGGGATCGCCGAGGGAATTGGAGGGTGAGAGATTGAGTTTTGATTGCTTTTTTGTGAAGAATGTGTGTATTGGGATGTGTTTGCTACTGTCCTTTTGATCTGGTTTCTGCTTCTTTGGCTTGGAATTTACCTTTTCCTTTCCGAGAATCCTAACAAGTGTTTGGTTTTGAAGTTTCAGTGAAAAGCAGAGACTTGTAAGAAACATCAAGGAGTAGGCTTTAAAATGTTACTGTCAGCTGACCTTCGTTTTGATGGTGTTGTGGAAGAACTAGAGCCAGATTCTTCGTTTTGAAGTCTCTGAGCGAGATGAAAATCAGAGTTTTCTTGTCGTTCCTCTACAAAAGATGGTGGTAGTTAACTCTATCCCACACAAGACGCATTTGTACCCATCAACCCAATGTAACGGCTCCATTTGCGGAAATACTGAAACTGCTTGGGTGTTTTGTACATTAGAACTATCATTCATCGAGTGATTCGTATCTGGTTTGCAATCCTTGTGTTTTATGAGCAAAGCATCTCCTTCCCATACTTGCGGCCTTTCTTCTTTCTTCACGCATTCTTGATTTGGAATCTCATGGGAACCAAAGGATAAACTCACGTCATTACCTAAGCAATTTTTACTAGCATCTAAGTCAAATGAGTCATTATCATCCAAATCTTGTCTTGAAGAATCCTTTTGAACGATGAACTTAGTAATAGTTCCCTGTGAAGGATCAGAGAATTGCGAATTTCTTCAACGAACTGCGACATGTGCAAACCTGCATATACATAGATCAAAAGAAGATACAACAATCACAAAAGAATGCATCTCATGAGGTCACACTTACTTCTCCACCTGAAAGACCTCTTTCTTGACAAACCTCAGTTATGTCAAGGTAGGCTTCATCCAAGCTCCCAGCAATGAAGTGAGGATCATAGTTCCTAAAAACTAAATGAAAACACTGATATGCAAATAAGAGAAGAGAAATAAGAAAAGCAAGCATAAAGCTACCAATGTAAAAAGAGGCCTTTCTTATTAAGTCACTGTAGTGAGTATACTTAGTGAAATCTACAGGAACAAATATCAAATCTGGACACAATTTACGAGCAATGAAGCCATGCATTGCAGCACGGACCGCAAACTTCCTTACCTAAAAGGGATAGTAGAAATTTAAGTTGTAAGCTTTAGTTCTAGCAAACTTTATGTCCACAAGTTGAAAACCAAAGCATACCTCATAATTAGCAGCCATGGAAAAGCCTCCAACAGCCATCGGCTTGCCTTTGAGGGAAGGATCACTCACAGTTTCAACAGCAGCATAAAAAGCATCCATATCAACATGCAGCCTAATTCTGGATAGCTCACGTGTAGCTTCTAATTCAGTCCAAAATCTTCTGGTCCATGTGACAATGAGATGGAGAAACTGGTGTTTTATCTAGCTGAGCTGGGACTTATGCAGTATCCCGTAGTTGTCTTAAACCGTCCATCGATGTAAGAAGCAATCTAACTTCGTGAACAAGAAACAGAAACGGCAGCTCCACGCCGACTTGGTTACTTGTCTCCAACGGCTATTAAAAATAATGTGTATGACCATCATTAATTCTTAAACCCTTGGATCTCAATCAAAACTTAAATCAACAGTCAAGATTTGCTTCATAAAACAGAACATGACCGCTAGAGAGAGCAAAAAGTTTATTTAAAACAGTATCCTCCTTCAACGACAAATCTTCACCATTCGTAATTTACACTCAGAAAACCGGTATTACTTATCATAGCCAACTATTCCTCAAGAAGATGGTTTCTATAGCTAGAAACTTTACTCAGAAATAGTGGCACATACCTTCTGATAATTAGATAAATCAGAGAAAGAAAGCTTTGCGCATCTATCACAATCTAGTAAATGCCTTGCAGCAACAAGCAAGCAAATTCAAAACCCAAAAAAACCGAAGCACAGAGCATAATCCAACTCATCTCTATAAAACAATTCTAGAGATTTCATTTTCCAGATTAACCAAATCAAACTCCTTTAACACAATCCTTCTACCAGAAAATTAGCTTACACAAAAACTGTGAGATAAACAAAAAAAAAAACTAAAAACGTACCTGACCGCTACGCCCTAGAGCCAATTCTCTAACTCAGAGTTAAATAAAACCACGAACAACGAAAGACACCGCAATCACCTCCTTCAAACCCTAATCATACGAAGGCGAATCTATTCAAAATCACAGGGAGTAAAAAGGTATAATCGACAGATACGATTATTCAGATATTCCGGGGAATTTTTTCCGATGAGATTTAACGGAAAATCAAATTTTTAAGAGATAATTTCAGTCTCAATCAATAAAAGAATGAAAAAAACTCAAAAACCCACGGAGTTGCAAGAAATTGAAAAAATAAAAACCAAAGAAACCATTGGAAATATTTAACAAAATCAAATTAAAAGGTAAAACAAATCAATTGATCAAGATCAGTGACAAATCATGAGTTTATAAGGAGAAATCAGAACCAAAACCTGTGATTCCACGTTGATCAGAGACTCTAGACGCCATAATATCTGAACCTTGTTCTTCTTCTTCTTCGGTGACCTGAAGTAACGCGCCTCCAATACTAGTTAACAGAGAAGAAAAGACCCAATAACACGCCACTCTCTCTTCAGAGTTCAAAATCTCTTTTCTTCATCATTGAATCTTGATCATTGATTTAACTTTTAATTGGGATCCAAGGGTTTAAAAATTAATGATGGTCATAAACAATATTTTTAATAGCCGTTGGAGACAAGGAACCAAGTCGGTGTGGAGCTGCCGTTTTTGTTTCTTGTTCATCAAGTTAGATTGCTTCTCACATCTAACTAGGTCCTATCATGTTCTATGCAACCACGGGGCTTTGTTTTTGAGATAATTGGTTCGGAGATAATGGATATATCAGACTCACATTAGATTTTTGTTAAATCATTTGAGCGTCTAAGAAATAAAAATATTTAACCCATTATATTTCTACCAAAAATATTCCCACGTGTTTTTCAGTTTCGAATCAATTCTCACGTAATATACATGTAAGAGTAAAAAACTAGTTTGACCCATAAATACGGTTTAGTTACTAAAATAACTCATAAAATGTATGAGTCAGTCTAGTTATTTTCATGACCAAAATATCTTTTGTCTCTTTGTTAGTAAAAAAAAAGAAGTCAATATTATCCTCTGATTTTTTTGGAAACGTGTGGGTGAATTTTTTTCGAGAAAACAAATCTGCCGTGAAAAGTTTGCGGGCGTTGTTGTGACAGATTTATTTTCCACGACAGATTTAATGATCTATGACAGATTTTCTGCGGCAGTTTTTTTCCTCCAACAGACTTATTTGAATATGGTTACGACAGATATTTAACTTGTAGCAGATTTTTTTCCTTTGCCAAACTTATTTTATGATGACACATTAGACTTTTGTAATTTTGACAGTTTTATTATAATGTGTAGCAGATTTTTGTTTCTAGTGGCGTTAGCCTTATATTTTTTGGAAAAAATCTGTCATAAAGTAGCAAATTTCTTAATGAAAAAATAATTACTAGTTTGACTTTTTAGTGTTGACAGATTTGTTTTACGTTATGACAAATTTTTTAATGTTAACAAAATATCTAGAATGTTGTAGCAGATTTGTTGAAAAAAAATAAAAATTGCTAGAATGACATATAGTCGCAACCGATATGATTAACGTTAAGAAAAAAAAATTATGTTATGCGAGATTTATGTTTAATTTACAAAAATCTAGTGTTTCATAGAAGATTTATTGAATTAAAAATAAATTAATGGAATGACCTATTTAGTGACAACAAATTTTTTAATGTTATGACAGATTTTTATTTTATCATGACAGATTTATAATTTTTATTTGAAGTCGGATTTTATCACGACAAAATTCTGTTTGGAAGTTACCAAGAAGAAACTGTTATGAAACCGAAAAAGGCAGACTCCTCGCCGCCGTTTGTGTGGCCGGGGAAGAAGAACAGTCACCACTGGATAAGAGGAATCGTCAAAAACGATGTCCCCAGCGGCTACAAAACCAAACGACACTTAAATTAACCCAATCGGAATCATCATCGTCGTTTGTGGGAGCGGCCGATTCAAAGAGAGATGGCTAGGTTTAGTAAAAAAAGCGAAGAAGAAGAGACATGGCTGGAAAATCTGTGAGAATGAAAAAATTAAGAAACTAAAACCTAAATCGCGATTTGTTGCTTTTTGTTTCTTAAATTTGTTATTTTTATTTAATTAAAAAAAAACAAATTTGGTTGCTGATAAAAAAAAACAAAAAAAAAAGAATTTGGATTTTTTTTTTTTAAGGAAATGCTATAATGAAAGGTTAAATAGTCTTTTAACATAAAATTTGGGTTAGTCTAGTTATCTATTTAGATTGAGAGTCATTCTAGTTATGTTTGCTTAGTTTTGAGTCAAACTTAAATTTGGAGTCAAACTGGGTAAATTTCAGTATATATAAACGTATCAAACTACTTAAAGAGGTAATTCTATTTATGTTAACGGTGCTCTATTTTAGTTCATGCATATTTCGTAAATGGTTGTTATTTATTAAAGATTTATCATGCTTCATGTTAGTTCTCGTCTCCGGTGTCGGAATTCCTATAGACAAAAGAACCCGTGATTATATTTGATTGTGCAACGGTAAAAACCCACTAGTGACGATGGAATCTAATTACTGTTACTGTTATGATGAATATACCTAATATCCGGTGAAAATTTGGTGATAATTCAACAAAATCCGGTGAAGATACGGTGAAAATTTGATAAAATCTAATGAAGATACAGTGACAATTTCAACAAAATCTCGGTGAAGATCCGGTGACAATTCGACAAAATTCGGTGAAGATCCAATGACAACTCGACGAAAACAGGTGAAAATCATCGAATATATGACGAAATTTATGATTCCAATGATATTTCGGTATCTAATTGTGATAAACTGCTCACTTACTCTGTTTGACGGTTAGGATACGGTGGTTGAAATATATATGTTTTTACATGTATACAAAATTTAAGAATGCTACTCTATGGCAAGTAGTAAGACCCTCACACTTTGTTCTTTCTCCTGTCCCTATCTCTCTTTGTCACATCCTATACCGTTCAGAATCTTTGGGATCAAGAACTCTCTTCCATTTCTCTGCTCGGAAAGAAGGTTGGCAAGAGATATTTTTAAATTAGGGCGCGGCAACTAAAGAGGTATCGAGACTGACCACAACTTTAGGTTGACTTTCTTTCATTTTGTTTATGGCAAGTGAAAGTCGTTCGTTTAGTACGAGAGGGCTTCACACTTCACGGTGCTTCCACCTCTTGCCTATCAAAGTTCTTTTCTAAAACCTATTTCGAGAACTTGTATAGAGAAGGATTTCCCGCTAAGCAGCAGTTCTTCCATACCATAGGTTAGCCCAACCCAGTCCTCTCGTACTAGGGTTGGCTCCTCGCAGTTCTCCATATAACACCAACGGTAGATAAGAGCCGAACTGTCTCACGACGTACTAAACCCAACTCACGTGTATACAAATATTAATAACGTTTTATATATATATGTATTTACATGTATATATGGATCATATGGATCCAATAACTTAACACTATAATTGTTTTTAAAGTTCTATGTATGTGTCTACATGTGTACGAATGTTAAAATAGTTTAAATATGTTTGTATCGTGATAAAATTTCTCTAATTTGAAAAAACAACAATTAATTTTAGTCTGGCCGTTACTAAATGCATGTTAACTCATTCTTTCTCGATATATGTGAGTCATTTCAACTATAGAACATTAAATGCCCGTCAACTTGTTCCTTCTCTCACCCAAGATGTCAACTGAACGTATCCGACGCGCAAGGCAAAGTAGAGGCTGGTTTTTAATAATTTTTCTAATTTTATACCTATTTGTTCAATTTGTTTGCCCCTCTACCTAAAGAAAAACTAATTGTCTTTCAGCTAATTATTTACCCCATTTTTGTCTCTGAGCTAAACGACCCTTTTATTTTGTGAAATGACATTGTATATTTTTATTAAAAAAATACTCAGTTATAAAATATTAAGATGATAAAAATAAATTCTAACAGAATCTTATAGAAAATATTTTGCAGTCGGAGTTTAAAAAGTTTCAAAGTTTACATCTCTTAGAACTACACAAATTTAGAGTTATCGCAATTGTTTCATCAACAAATCCAACCCTGACCCTCAAAATCAAGAAGCTCGATTACTAGGTTTGAAACACAGAAGAGAGGAAGGAAACGGGAAAGAATTTGTCCAAGTAATTTTAGAACAACATTATTGGTGGTATGCTAATATTAGCTCTTAGCATTAGTTTAATATTAAATTTGTAAAGTTTAGAGTTAAGAGATTATTTATTGGTTTTAAATTTTCAT